GCTGGGCACCACTGGGAAGAGTCTGGCTCTGTCCTCGTGACCCCCACCCTTGAGATATTTGTAGGTGTTGATGAGATCCCCTCTCAGCCTTCTCTTCTCCAGGCTGAACAAGCCCAGCTCCCCCAGCCTTTCCTCCTAGGGGAGATGCTCCGGTCCCCCCATCATCCTTGTTGCCCTCCTCTGGACTCTCTCCAGGAGTTCCTCATCCTTCTTGAACCGGGGAGCCCAGAACTGGACCCAGTGCTCCAGGTGGGGTCTCAGCAGGGCAGAGCAGAGGGGGAAGGAGAACCTCCCTCGCCCTGCTGGCCACGCTCCTCTTGATGCACCCCAGGATGCCATTGGCCTTCTTGGCCACCAGGGCACCCTGCTGGCTCCTGACCACCTTGTCGTCTACCAGGACTCCCAGGTCCCTCTGGGCAGAGCTGCTTCCCAGCAGGCCAGCCCCAGCCTGGACTGGTGCCACCCCTGGGTTCCAGTGCGTCCCCTCCTGGCAGTGTGAGGCCGTAGCCTTGGGCGTGCTGGGGCTCCCGGACCCGGGAACGTGTCCCCTTGACGTACGCCGGTCTCCAGCATCTTCCAGGCATCGCGCCGGTGCAAAGCATTGCTTCCCCAGCCGTTGCCCGTGCCCTGCCTGGCTCCATTGGTTGCTCCCGCGGGAGCCGGCCTGTGCTGGGCAGCATGAAGGGCTTGCTCTTCTCTCCCACACCTCCGGGCTGTGCCTCGATCCGTCAGAGGAAGGACCAGGCCTTGTCCCTTCACCTCCCTGGGTGGTGTGGCTGTGAATAGGATGCCAACAGCCCTGCTCCCGCCCACGGTCCTGCCCGGGGACCCTCAGGGAGCTGCTCCGGGGCTGGGCTGGGTGCCGATGCACATCAGCCGTCCCGCTGTCCCCACCGCCTGCTGCTTGTGCCGGATTTAGCGTCCGAAGCCGCACTGGTGCCCCGTGGCCTTCAGCCCTGCTTCTGGCAGCTCCTCTGCTGCGGTGCAGCCCTGGTGCCACCCGGGGTGGCCCTCGTCCTGCCGCAAGTGGTCCGGGTGATGAGCAGTGGCTGCCTTTGCTGGAAAGCACTCCATGTTTTTGGGGATGCTGGGGTTTAACGCGCATCTGAGGCAGCAATGGCAGGAGGTGCTGCAGGCTTACGGGGGGTGGGAGGGCAGGGAGCCCCCCTCTGGAGCTGCTTCTCCAGCCCTGCTTGCTCCTTCCGCCAGCAAAACGTCTGAAGGTTCCCCTGGAGCTCGGGTCAGCCCCCGGGGGGAAGCTCTGCCCTGGTTTTCAGTTTTACCCTCCTGTGGGTTTCCAGATTTGGGGTTTTTTCCAGGCTGTTATTAGTCTTAGGGGGGAAAAAAAAGCCTGGAGGAGCCCGCAAAGGCAGCAGCCAAAGTGGCGGCGAGCTAGAGGG